TGTTCTATTCTATTCCATATTTTCTATTCTATTCTATTTTCTATTCTGTATTCTATTCTGTTCTGCTCTATTTTCTATTTTTTTTATTTTCTATTCTATTCTGTGTTCTATTCAATTCTTTTCTTTTCTATTCTTTTTCTCCTATTCTATTCTATTCTATTCTATTCTATTCTATCCTATCCTCTATTCTATTGTATTATCTATCCTATCCTATTCTCTATTCTATCGTATTGTAAATTTGCACAAACGAGCATGTATTTTCCCCACAGTTGTGCCTTCACAAGCCTTTCCTTAGCAGAAGGGCCAGGCCTTTCTCCTTGAATCATAGCCAGCGTGTCAGAGGCCATCCTTGCTTGCTGTCACTTCAACAGATACACATGGCCTTGCTTGCGGGGCCCCAAACTGTAGTATCTCTGAAAAATAAGAGGCAATGTCCTGCTCCTTTACTGACTCATAAATTATGTGGAGTGTAGCACGCAGAGCTGCAGCCTTAAATGAAACAGCCACATTGTTTTAAAAGGATTCGTGGCAGGTAAGTGAGTGCCGGAGACAGTAAATAAATAAACAGGCTCGGTTAATCTTTTGATGTGCATCCTGAACCAACCTGAATTGCTCGTTTATTTTTTATTATTATTATTTTTATTTCTGTATATGTCCATTCTTGGGAATAATCTGACGTGTCCTGACAAGGGAGGCGATTTAGGCTTGAAATATACTAAATAATAGCGTCTCCTGGCTACGTTATGCAGGTAGTCCTCCACTTATGACAAGGGTGCCCAAAAGTTCTGTTCCCAAGCTAGACGGTTGTTAAGTGGAAAGTCCCAGATCTGATTGTGGTCCTAAACCAAGGACTACCTGAAGGGGAGGAAGGCCGTTCTTTCAACCCTAAACTGAGTTTGCTCCAATTTAAGGTCCTGATTTCTCCTGCTGGCTTTGCGATTTACAAGGGGTTTCTGTGGGAATACTAAATGCCACCTAACCCCAATAAAATAAAAGCAAAACGAGTGCTTTCCAGAAGGCAGGGCAGCTGGTCCTCAATTTACAACCACGGTGTATGTTGCTAAGCAAGAAATTTGTGAAGTGATTTAATGACTTTTCTCACCACATGTGATGACCCACGGTGGGATACAAAACAAATACAGTCACAGAAAACAGGTGAAGCCCCTTTTATTCCTTCACTTTGCTCCCAAGCTCCGAATATCTTTGACGGAAGACAAAAACACTCCCACACAAACAGTTACAAGAAGAAGGAAAAAAGCAACACAAACCAGGCAAGATAAGGGCTGGAGGACATCCACAGATAACACACACTCGGAAGGACGCCAAACTCAGAGAGGAACTATAAACTAGAGATATTTACATGCTTTGTTTCCAGCGTTTGCCCTTATGCCTGTCCATCCTCTTATTCAGTTGTCACAGCTGCAGCCCATGAAGGGGATCAAGGCCCTCTCCTTCCAAGTAGACCACATTGCTCCCTTCTCCTCTCCTCCCTGTGTGCCCTAGGATGGAGGGGGGATGGGCCTGGGTCCTCCTCTGATTGCCCAGCCAGCCTCTGCCCTTCCCCAGCCTCCTCCACAACCTCTGGAGCCACACTTCCACTCCTTGTTCCTCCTCTCCCTCAGAGTCAGCCTCCAACAGGGGCACGACACCACATTTCCTAAGCGAAATGCGCTGTCGTCGTAAAGCGAGCCACATGGTCATTAAGTGAATCTGACTTCCCTTCTTGACTTGGCTTGTCTGAAGGTTTTAAAGGGATTGCGTGGCCCCGGGGGACACCTGCGACCATCGTAAATATGAACCACGTGCCAAGTATTCGAACGTGAACTATGGGGATGCTGCAGCGGTCATAAGGGTGGAAAATGGCCGTAACTCCCTTTTTTCAGGGCCATTGTCACTTTGAACGGTCACTAAATGAACTGTTTGTCAGTCGAGGACTATCTGCATATTTCAGGTTGTGGATACGTCAAATGCAAATGAAAAGAGGGATGATAACAATTGTAGGCATCCTGAGTGTGACCGAGATTTAATCGTGATAAAAAGTGGTCGTAAAAAATGGGTACAGGGAGCCCTTGGCCTACCATCCAAGCCCAAGATTTCCGTTGCTAAGTGGGACACTTGCTGGGGGAGTGTTTGCCCCCCCGGTTTACCCCCTTTCTCGCCACTATGGTTAAATGAATCCCTGCAGTTATTAAAATTAGTCCCTTGGTTGTTAAGTGAATCCGGCTTTGCTTGTCCGAAGGTCGCAAAAGGGAATCACGTAACCAACCCCAGGATACAGCGACCATCACAAATATGAATTGGCTGCCAAGCCTCTGAATATTGATCGTGGGACCAGGGGGAGGCTGCAACGGTCATAAGTGAAAAAAACGGTCATAAGTCGCTTTTTTCAGGGCCGTCGTAACTTTGGTCACTAAATGAACCGTTGCAAGTCTAGTGAAGAGCAGGACCAGGGGAGACAGGATAACAGTCTTCCAATATTTGAGGAGGGGCTGCAACAGAGAGAAGGGGGTCAAGCTATTTTCCAAAGCACCCAAAAGCCAGACAAGGAACAATGGATGGAAACTGATCGAGGAGAGATTCATCCTGAAAATAAGGAGAAATTTTCTGACAGTGAGAACAATCAACCCATGGAACAGAAGTTGCCTTCAGAAGTTGTGGGAGCTTCATCACTTGAGACTTTCAAGAAGAGATTGGACTGACATCTTGTCAGAAATGGTGCAGGATCTCCCGCTTGGGCGGGGGGTTGGACTAGATGACCTACAAGGTCCCTTCCAACTCTGGTTATCTGTTATCTGACTGTCTTTATTCCCTAAGCCAGATTCCTAGAGAAGCACAGGGATTTTGACAGGCATGAAGGATAATAAAGGATAATAAAAACAAGGCCAAATAGGCTGAAAAACAGCTTCTATCCCTAGGCAATAACTCAACTGAATTCTACTGTATAGTGCAGTGTTGGTGCGGTGTCTGGGGTTTTTGGTTCCATGTGTGGAGGGTGAAGGATGTGTCTTTGTGTTTATTTTCATAGTCATGATGTGCACTGAAGAGGGTGTTTGATTTCGTTGTACGAGGTGCAATGACAATAAAGGAAAGTAAACTAGACTAAGAGAGAGTTTTTATCGTCTTCTCCGACCTGCTGTCCATACAACTTATCCAAAGAGAACTTGCTACCCGAGGTCCCTCCCATTTAAAAATAGTATTCTCTATTTTAAAATATAATTGTATAATTCTGTCGTGCAGTTGGACTTCCAGGAGATGCACTAGATATTTAGCAGGCCCTGCATCTTTTAAAAACGCGGAAAGTTTAAACGTAACCCCTGCAGCCAGAAACAACATTCCAAAGTAGGGGCATAAATTCTCCTTTGTCTCTAGTGCACGTTACTGTTAATTATCCCATTTAATTAACAGTAAGCCGAGTAAGTTTTCCTTCAGTGGAAAGGAAGCCTTGACTTTGCCCTTCTGTGTGGAGTTTTATTGGAGATTGCTGTTAATTTCCACTGATGAGCTGGAGGCCCGTTGGCAGCCTTTCCAAAAAATTTTTTTAAAAAAGGCAAAGAGATTCTTTGGGACTCCCAGTGAGTTTTATTGCAAAGAGAGGTTTTGCAGATCTCCGCTGGTCTTTAATAAGCCCGGCAAACTTTTCATACGAAGAACGGTTGCAGGAATGTCTAGTCTAGTGAAGAGGAGGACCAGGGGTGACGGGAGAGCTGACTTCTCATATTTGAGGGGCTGACCCCCCAAAAAAGAGGTCAGCTTATTCTCCAAAGCACCAGAGGGCAGGACAAGAAACAATGGAGGGAAACTCATCAAGGAGAGAAGCAACCTAGAACTAAGGAGAAATTTCCTCACAGTGAGAACAATTAAATCAGTGGCACAATTTGGGTTCAGAAGTCGTGAGTGCTCCATCACTGGAGGTTCTCAAGAAGAAATTGGACAGCCATTTATCTGGAATCATATTGGGTTTCCTGCTTGAGCAGGGGGTTGGACTAGAGGCCTCCAAGGTCCCTTCCCACTCTGTCATTCTAAGTCGTAGCTTCGTGTTCTCCAAATTGTGAGGGCAAGATCTCAAGAGTTGGCAACCGGGGTGTTAATTTACTGTGCAAATGAGCAGAGCATCCCTTGAAGCGGGTGGAAGAAATACTTAAGGTATTTCGGCTAACATGAGTTCAAAGGTTTTATTTTCATTTCTAAGGAGAACTGCCACCCTGCGTGTTTTTCTTACATCAAATAAAATGCGCCCGTAGCTTCTGTGATACAGGTCGTCCTCGACTTACGACCACAGCTGAGCCCGAAGTTTCCGTTGCTAAGTGAGACATTTGTTAAGTAGAGTTTTGCCACATTTTAGGATCCTTCTTCCTACCGTTGTTAAGTGGATCCCTGCAGTTAAATGAGCAACACGGTCGTTAAATGAATCCGACTTCCCTATTGACTTTGACCCTGGGACATTGCAACCGTTATAAATATGAAGCGGTTGCCAAGCACCTGGATTTTCCTCACCTGATCGTGGGGATGTTGCAACAGCCATAAGTGTGAAACATGGTCATAAGTTGTCATTTTTTTCAATGCCGTTGTAACTTTGAATGGTCACTAAACGAAATGTTGTAAGTCAAGAACTCCCTCCTTTTAGTTTTAATCAGAACTGCTTTGGTGTGTGTTTCTCCCCCAATTTGCACCAGGTAAAACGAAGATGCGTCGGTAACTTAATGAGACACCTATCCAGTCGTGCGCTCAACGTTCATTTAATTCCCTACCTCCCTTGCTCTGAGTTACTTCCTGTTCTGAGCCAGGCTTCGTAAATTGTAATTAATCACAAAGTTGTTTTAAAAGCAAAACCTATTTTACTGCAACGCTGGGAATTGTTTTCATTTCCAGCCAGAACTAATCTCAAACAGTTCCCCAAGATAAGCACACACCTTTCGGTTCTATGGCATGCTGCCAAAAAACAGAAGTATCCAATTAACTATAAAAGAAACCAACCGAAGTACACAGAGCTTCAAAGATGACTTGGAACCGATCGAACGACTTTGCTTCCTGCAAAGGTTTCGTCATCTTGGCCTGACTTTTATATTTTATGGGAGGGGCCATCACCTCCCAGCCTTACTCCCGAGTGGCCCCTTTTGTTTCAGCTGGTCTCGTCTTCTGGCAGCTCTGCACACATACGCACTAGGAACAGGCTCCCTCTGTTCCTCTGCCTTGCTGCTGTCAGATTCCGAAGGCTCCAAAGTCAGCACATAACTCCCAGATGGTCCTGGCCCCGTCTCTGCATTGGATGCAGGACCCTTGTCTGACTCCTCTCCAGACTCCCGGACTGGTCCCCATTCTTCCCCACTGTCCAATTCCGCTGCCGTCTGCCGGCGAACCACAACAGCTTCCTTACTTCTTTTATTTATTTTTAAAATTGCAGATTATCATCCGGAGGTTTACAAGATCCCAGATTACAGCAACGATGTGAACGGCAATGCCAAAGAAATACAAACACTTTATTTAGGTATGTTGTCATGGGGTTTAATTTCCAAGCATTACGTTGGGGCAGAGCGAACGACGTGTGTGTGTGTGTGTGTGTGTGTGTGTGTGTGTGAGTGACAATGTGGATCTGCACAACCAGAAACATTCGCTGCTCTTCGATAGCCAGTCCTTTCCAAAGGCTTGGCGTTATTATTATTCTTATCATTATTTGGCGGGGCAGCTCGCCGGCATATCTTTTATTAACATTTGCTTTTTTAAAAAAAAATCGTTCAAATGTAAGATGCAAATGGTGCTAATTGTCACTCACCCGGAAAACCAACGCTGAGTGTGCATTTTGCAGCTCTTTGCTTAACCCGTATTTATTTTGCATATTTGCCGGCGTGCTTCACTTAGCAGAAGTCGGTGTAATTGAGGGCGTTACGTCTTTGACATCTGGAGAACAGGAATTCAATTTCCAAGAAGTCGCTCTTTGTTTGATTTTTTTTTTGCCATGGCCATCGAAGGGATTTAATGTGTTGTCTCCATGCAATCTTCCTTCCCCTGCTGCTTATTTCTCATGAAGCAGAAAAAAATTACATTCAGTCAGCCATCCCGAAAGGGGCGAAGAAAAATATTAGAAATATTATATGGGCAACCCTGGACCCATGACCGCAATTGAGCCCAAAATTCCTGTTGCTAAACAAGACAGTTGTTAAAGTGAGTTTTGTTCCATTCTACGACCTTTCTTGCCACCTTTGTTAAGTGAATCACTGTTAAGTTAATAGGAGAGGAGAGGATAGAAATATGGAATAAAATAGAACAGAAGAGAAATATGGAATAGAAGAGAAAAGTAGAGAAGAGAGAGAGTAGAGTAGAATAGAATAGAATAGAACAGAACAGAACAGAACAGAACAGAACAGAATAGAATAGAATAGAATAGAATAGAATAGAAAAGGTGGAATGAAATGGAATAGAAAACAATAGGATAGGGTAGAATAGAGTAGAATAGAATAGATGTTGGAATGAAGAATAGAATAGAATAGAATAGAATAGAATAGAATAGAATAGAATAGAAAATTTGGAATGAAATGGAATAGAAAACAGAATAGAATAGAACAGAATAGAATAGGAATAGAATAGAATAGAATAACAGAGTTGGAAGGGACCTTTATTCACTTAGCGACATAAATTTTGGGCTCAATTGTAGTCATAAGTCGACAACTACCTGTAAATACTATTTTGCAATGGTTTTTAACTTAGGATTCAGAGTCTTTTTTTTTTTAAAGGTTCTTGTGGGAAAATTATTAGGTGGTTCTGGTGTACAAATTGTGTGAGATCTGTGCAATTGACAGTGAAAAGGTTTCGGGTTTTGCAAAATACAACGCTAGGCGGTGAGCAGCCCTTAGTGGGCATTTTATTTCAAGAACTGCTGAAAAATGTACGGTTATTGCGGGTATAAAATGGGAGCCAGGTGTGCTGCAGCACAGGTGTTTTGTGTTTTACAACATTTATGTCTTAATGCATTGGACTTTGCCAGGCCATAATTTCGTTTTCTCCTGCAGGGAAGCTGTGTATAAAACAAACCAGGGCTGGATAAAACAACTCTTGCTTAACAGATAATCAGAGTTGGAAGGGACCTTGTAGGTCATCTAGTCCAAGCGGGAGACCCCACACCATTTCTGACAGATGGCAGTCCAATATCTTCTTGAAAGTCTCAAATGATGGCACTCCCATAATTTCTGAAGGCAACTTCTGTTCCATCGGTTGATTGTTCTCACTGTCAGAAAATTTCTACTTATTTCCAGGTTGAATCTCTCCTTGTTCAGTTTCCATCCATTGTTCCTTGTCTGGCCTTCGGGTGCCTTGGAGAATAGCTTGATCCCTTCCTCCTCTCTGGGGCAGCCCCTCAAATATTGGAAGACTGCTCTCATGTCTCCCCTGGTCCTTCTCTTCCCTAGACTAGCCAGGCCCAGTTCCTGCAACCGTTCTTTGTATGTTTTAGCCTCCAACCATCCCCTAATCCTCCTGGTTGCTCTTCTCTACTTTTTCTAGAGTCTCAACATCTTTGTTATAATGTGGTGACCAAAACTGGATGCAGGACTCTAGGTGTGGTCTTACTAAGGCTTTATAGAGTGGTATTAGTACTTCCCTTGATCTTGATTGTATCCTTCTGTTAATGCAAGAGGATTGCATTGGCTTTTTCGGCTGCTGCTGCACACTGCTGGCTCATATCTAGCTGGTTGTCCACTAAGACTCCAAGATCCCTCTCACAGTTACTGCTATTGAGCCTGGTTTCACCCAGTCTATATGTGTACTTTGGGTTTTTCTTGTCTAAGTGACTTTTGTCTGCACTGAATTTCATTTTGTTAGATACGACCCAGGGTTCGAGTCTGTCGATATCCATCTGGATCTTGAGCCAATTTCCTTCGTGTCGATTCAGAAACCAGCCCTGTTAAATCCGCCAGCGATTCGCTCGTAATGACGGATAGGAGGAGGCAGCCTCAAAGTACACGGTGACATTGTTAGCTGTCATCAGGAAAAGAAAAAGTTAGATCTCTAGAGTGTGCATACTGCGGTTGTCTACTCAAAGACAGGTAGTTCTCGACTCAGTTCGTTTAGTGACCATTTGAAGTTACGACGGCACTGGGGAAAAATGACTTAGGACCGTGGTTCACACTTACGACCGTTGCAGCTTTCCCATGGTCAAATTTGGACGCTTGGCCATTGACTCCTATTTACGACGGTCACCATGTCCTGGGGTCATGTGATCCCCTTTTGCAACCTTCTGACAAGCAAAGTCCACGGGGAAGCCGGATTCACTTAATGACCGGATTATTAGCAACTGCACCAATTCACTTAACAATGGTGGCCAGAAAGGTCGTAAAACGTAAAACAAAACTCACTTAACCGCTGTCTCGCTTGGCAACCTAAATTTTGGCCTCAGTACAGCCCAACCTTTCTAGTGATCTTCTAACTTCGAAAAGTCACTAAACGGATGGTTGGGATTTCAATAGATCTTAAGCACGAATAGTTTGTGGATGAAGGCGAATCTAGGGGTCCCAGGATAATTAATTTAATCCCACTAAAATGCTTCTGGACTGACTGATGTTCCACAGCACTGAAATTGCTGCTCTTTAAAGAGATATTTTCTCCTCCTCTTCACTTCTTCCACATTAATCACTGGTGCAAGAACAACCAAGTTTCAATCATCGTCTGGAACAAACCAACTTTGTTTTGCTGGATCCGACCTGGGTTGGACTTCGGGACCGGAGTTTTGGTCTTCCGAGCTTTCGGACTTGTGCCAGAGCCCATCCTCAGGGATCTTCTCTCTAGTGGAGTGTGCGTGCGCTTCAGGCTATTCTACGAGTGGCCTTTATGTGGTGCCTGGTTGTGTGTGGCTTTTTAGTTGTGGATTGGGGTGTGGATGGCTGCCCATCCCCCACCTCCTAAGTACTTGATAAACTGGTAGTAAATCAGCCCTGATGTTGATTGATAAGAGGCATGTTCCCCAGGTTTCAATTACTTCCCTGGCTGTTTTTGTCCCTGATCATCCGACAATCTTAGTAGCTGCAAAATTGAATGTATGTCCTTGTTCACTGCCATAGGAGGCTACCAATGAGTTCCGGCAGTTGTGGGATTCAAATGTTTTTTACTACCGGTTCTTGTGGGTGTGGCTTGGTGGGCGTGGCAGGGGAAGGAGATACTGCAAAATCCACCTTCCCTCCCCACCCCACTAACCTGCTTTCCAGCTCCGTTCTCCTGGGCAGGGCAACCAAAGGAGACCCAGCCGACCAGCTGGGACTCGATGGGAGGCAGAGATTAGAGGGGGGTTGGCGGGGCCAGTCAGAGGCGGGATTTGCTGGTTCTCCAAACTACTCAACCTTTCCGCTACCGGTTCTCCAGAACTGGTCAGAACCGGCTGAATCCCACCTCTGTGTTCGGGTCTCCTCATCTGACCACTCCCTTGTGTCCTTGCAATCTGGTACGATCACAGTGGCAACCCTTGTTGCTCAGGAAGCAAGTTGTGTCCTTCTAATAATGGCCTGATCTGTTGGAACATGGAACTAAGCTGGCTTGGAGAAGCCACCCGTCCTCTAAGTAGTCGGGAAGGCTTCCTGACTGTTTACATGGTTTTGAATCCTTCCCTGCTCTGCCAAGGACATGAGAAGAGGGCGGGGGGGAGGCTGGCTGGACGCTTGAAAATACCTTTGGCATTTTTTCCCCAAGCATGAGTCTTTTTTTCTTAAGAATCGGAGTTGACTCAACTTGCCCTCAGAAGTTGTGGGAGTGCCATCACTTGAGGCTTTCCAAGAAGAGATTGGACTGCCATTTGTCAGAAATGGTGTAGGGTCTTCCGTTTGGGTGGGGGGGTTGGACTAGATGACCTATAAGGTCCCTTCCAACTCTGATTATCTGTTATCTGACTCAAAAGCTTTTGGGGCACTTCAGCTGGACTGGAGAACCGTTTGACCCTCCTCTTCTTCGCCTTTGGGAAAGTGGTTTGAAAACCACCTACCACAGTGAATCTGCAAAATTATTAATTCTGTTTCCACCTTGATTTTCTCCTGCCTCCTTTTTAATGCGACGCCTGTTTTTCTTTGTGTTTTTTTAAAATAATTTTTATTAAAGTTTTACAATTTTTTTTAAAAAAAACACAAATCGTGTTTATAATTTTTACAATTTGTTGTAACACCAGTTTTCCCCATCTTCCCTTATTCATATCTACATATCTACATTATTTATATTTATCTTACACTTTATTTGTTATTCCTGCTCTCTATCCAAACATACAATTTCTCCCAGACCGTATAAAATTCTTTTTTTCTTTCTCTTGTAACTCCATTGTAAGCATATTCATTTCCGCACAGTCCATAATTTTTTTAATCAACGTAGTATCCGTGGGATTATCCTACAATTTCCAATTTTGAGCGTAGGCTAATCTCGCTGCTGTCAGAATGTGTATTATAAGATATTCAATTTTCTTTTTTATATTCGCCTCTAATTATTTCTAGTAAGAACATTTCCGGTTTAAGTGCTATTTTT